AATTACTTTATTTGTTGTTATCCAGGGGTATATCGAGGTATCGAAAGCAGAGAGTGTAACGTTCTACTGACCCTTCTCGGTACGCTCCTGCTGATATTCATATTGATTCAAACCAGTTTTATGAGCAACAGAATAAATAATCACGGTTGTATACCTAATGCGAATAAGGTAGACCTAGATTTGCTAAAATGTTTTCGTTATTTTACATCTAACAACGCTTCAATTCACTAAGTGAATACTTTTAAATAGTTACAATAATATTCATAATGAAACTATGTCTCCAATATTTCTCGACAATATTCAATCAAATGAAAGATTATATAGTTTTGAATAAATATTACTTCAAATATAAAAGATACGAGAGATAAATTTCGTATAACTTAAAGCAGCTTTTATTGGTTTTGTGTATAATTACATACGTATTTACTATTTTTTAATCTTTAAAAACAATAAACGGATCATCAAAGCTATAAACCCCATCCATACTAATTTTAAATCATTAGATTGCAATTTTGTCTATGTCTATAACGGAAATATTTTAATATTTATATTCCCACAAATAAATATACACTTCATTAAATATACGTGTTATGAATACTCCAAATAAATCATATCTCTAATACCAATACGTTTTCAAATGCATTTTAGAATATCCACACCATTTCATCAAAGATCATGATATATCTAGATTACTTTTTATGCATAAATCAGCTCAGAAATCAATCGTCACTGCCAAAACACATAGGGACCTTTTTTTGACACATTTTTCTATTAATTCTTATTCATTTCATGATACGTATATTATTGTAATATATACATGTTATAAATTCTTGCGCCATTAGTTTACATTTAAAGAGCAGACACATTGTTGAAATAACCATATGAATATTAAAATGAGACAATGAAACATTTGGTATATAGAAATATTGTTATGTAAGCAGTTTTTTGAATTATAAATAATTTAACTCACTTGTTTCTCTCTCATTACATCTTTATACGACTCAATGGAAATAAAAATAAATTATAGATTTAGTAAATTATTTTCAACAAGATAACAAAATAATATTTGTTTTTTGATAAAATATTAAGAAATTGTTTCTTTAACTCATCTATCATAGTGTAATGTGAAGTTTTATTATTTGATAAAAAAAAAACTTAAACCAATAAGAAGTAGTACAATAGCGTCATCTAAAATATCAATATTGAAGGCATTTGCTTAGCAACTGAGTATGTTAATGGTTTGAATTTATATTTATTATTATTCTTTTTCTAATAAAAATCTATTTTTTTCAAATATGTTATCTGAATATACAGAAAAACAAATCGAAGGAGTTCGAAAAATCCAACGATTATGGCGTCGTTATGTTGTAAATAAATAATTTATTAATTAGATTTCATTTACTAAATAATTTTTTTTTCTTCATTAAAAGGATATTCAAGTCTTTCGTTTCTATCGTGATTTAATTCATTTTCATAATAATGGTGATCCACAAATTTTAATGCGTACAATAAATCCAAATGAATCAAAATATATTGATTCAGCAGCTGGTATTCGTATACGTTTTCGTTTAGCTGGTGAACGTTTTCCACCAACTATTTATTATAAAATTTATACAAATCGACCTATACAAGATTTAGGTGCAATTGCACCAAGAGATTATACTCGTCCGTATTTAAAATTACCAAGTCCAGTTGATATAAATAATCGATTAAATCGTTTTCCACAACAAGGTTGTCTTTTTTCATATAGTTCTTTTATTTTTCATTGAAATTTTTTTATATAGATAAAGAAGGATGGTATCGTCGAATTGAAAATAATGGTTGGAGACCAGTTGCTTATACACATTTATTACAAGCTAATACGGATCAATATTATAGTTCAAATCAATATAAAAAAAGTATACCATTTCCACATTCTAAAGTATGAGAAAATGTTCATATTATTTTAGAAATGAAATATTTCTATTCTTAGTAGATGCAGCGTCGGCAAGATGTTGAACGTAGACGAAAAGAAAAGAAATTAGAATGGCTTCAAAAAATGTTTTACAAAAATTTATTATTATTTTTTGAATTAATTTGAATCTTTTTTTTACATAGGTATCAAACTGGAACGCTTAGTGGAGAAAATAATGAGGAAATAACCGATGATGGACATGACAATGAAATGTCTCGTCTTATTAATGAAACAACAACAAGTATATTAAAAATGTATAATACATACGGTGCAGATGCAGTTCAAGAATGGGAAGTTAATGATTTACTTGATTGGACACATAATCTTAATTATGATGATTATTTATATGATTGGAGAACCATTGGTACTAGTGCTTCATCCAATTTTATTCAAGGTATGTCACTTAAAAAATAACTGAAAGAACAAATAGATTTAGAAAGTATTACAAATATAATTTAAATTTGGATTATCTATTTTGAAGATAATATGAAAATATGTATTTTTTTATTAGATAATCCCACGCGACAACGACAAATGCGTGATATTGATGATCGAACAACTTCAACTTTAACTGAATCAAGACATGTATCTGTGCAAGTAAATGTACCAACTGTTGGTTCGTTACGTGTTTTACCAAATGTTGATAGTGAACCAAGTTTTGGCCATACAACAACAACAGCACGATCACAATCGGGTAGTGAGCATAAAAAATTAGTTTAAAATAAAAAAAAACAAACACTCTTGTAGATATATTTATATATATATATTTGATAAAGATAACAAAAATCTCAAGAAATTTTTTTCTTGTTTTATTAAAGAAATGAATTTGAATATGGTTCGATAGTTGTATTTCTACTTGAATCTGATGCAGTTTCGTCTGCGTTCTCCATTTGATTAAACCAATGAATTAAATAACAATTTGGATAATGAGGAAAAAGATCATAGCGATCAGACATATGTGACATAGGACCATTTATAGATGATGCAGTTCTCATAAGACTTAAAATAAAAAATGATATTGACATACAAAGTATATAAAATAAACATGGAGATTCTTTTGCTAATGACATTGTAGCTATATCCTCATCAAATAAAAGCCAAAAACCTCTCCATAATAAAATACATGTAAAAAACGCAGTTAGATGACGAATAGTTTGTATAAAAGATGGATAATTTAAATAGATAAATGTTGGTAATAAACAAGCTTTATCCGAATAAGATTGAGTATACATAAGAAGAAAATATAATGGATAACCAAGACAAAGACTTAAGGCAGCTGATATACGAGGACTGTTTGGATAAAGAAAAACATCAAGTAATGTATATGAACCACGCCAAGCTAGGATAGATAGAAGTGACATAATAAATTCATAAAAAATATAATTAAGAAAATGAGCAAGACATTCACTAATCTAAATTAATACAAACAAAAACAAATTCGTCTTGTTTTTTTTCTCATATAAAAATTAAATGTATTACTTTTTCAGTGACAAATGGTGATCCAATTCGAATATTATATTCAATTGAATCATAACTTAGTATAAATGGAGCACAGACAAGATCACATGGATGTCCCATTATAGCAATAACAGCTAGGATAGCAGCTATACTAACTATAAGCATAAGTAACCAATCTGCTGATGTATAACGATCCCATATAGTCCACATTGATACCCATTGAAGAATATAAGTTGATGAAGTTAGAAAATTATGACATTGTAAAATAATAGAAATAAATAATTTATTTTTTCGTTTATGTAAATAATCATAGAGACGATCTTGATTTAAATAGATTAGGAGAAAAATGACTTGAGCCATCATATAAAGTATAGGTAATGTTGCCCAATGGTTCGGTAACGTTGCCCAATGTTTACGAGTAGGAGTACCTAACAATTCGACCATACAATTCCATCCTGCTTGCCAAAAAAGTATTAATAATGGAAAAACTAAGAGTCCAGCAATAAGAGGTTGACATATAAAAAATATCGTACGTCTTGTACCATTTCGAATAATAAATTCACATTCATCTGATGATGGTGCAGTAGTTTCATTAGAAATATTAGTTAATTTTCGAGATGTAAGAAATCGATCAAGTAAAGAAATCGTTAATTCACTATAAGTTCGTTGACGATTTTCAAAAAGTGATTGTGCACGTGGACGAAAACGATCATTATAGTTTATTGCTTCGCTCATTAGCAAATTTCAATAACTAAAATTACTAGAAATAGAAGAAAGTTGTCCATGTAAAGTAACTGTAATATATATTCAATATCATGATTTTTATTAGAAACGCAATACACAACCTACTTACATTTGTATGAAATTTATCTTTGTTTATTTACTAATGTATTTTGTAAACTATGCAATTTGTTCTTATCTTGATAATATATTATTTAAACATGTTAGTGATGATGTTGTTTGAATATAATTTATTTTCTGCAGACGAATATACGTAAAAGATATATAATATTGATTTTTTTTTATATATGCAATGAGGAGACTAAATGTATAGAACAGAAAGAAAAAGAGTCATTTGTGTTTGGCTCTCGTCGATTGATAAAGAAAAAATACAAAATGTAGAAGAAATAATATTTCTTACAATAAAAATACAGAATAAAAAAAAAGGAAAAAAAAAGCAAGAATATTAGAATGATTCATTGATTGAAAAAGAAAATCTTTTGTTTTTATTTGTATCATCTTTTTCTTTTTTAATGAAAAAATTCTCATGCAACTAATAAAAAGATTAATATATGTACTAATGAATATTGTTTGTACGTGTTGTTTCAATGAACTTTACAAAATATTTGTAGATTTTCTATAAATAATGCATCAACCACCACCAATTCCTGAAGGTGATGAGGAAACGGAAGGAATTGTACAAGATGGTGAAGGAACTCATTTTCCACGTACGCGTGCACAACCTCAAGTACCACCCATGCATGATTCAACAGCAACTGCTGAAGAATTACAAACACGTGAAGATTCAGGTGAAGGCTATGGAAAAACGCCACAATTACAAAATGAAATGATTGCTGTTAGTGGTGGTGAACCAACAGAAGCACCACAACAAGCTGAATATGTACAAGCATCAACTATTGATAAACCTATTATTGATGATCAAGCTATGGAAGGTACACCAATAGATTCTGATGCAGAAAATGAAATAAAAGAACGATCAAATGATCAAGATGGTTTAGGTGCTATATCTGAAGATGAAAATACACTTGATGAATCAAGATTAGCACACGATCCAGATACACATTTATCCACAGTTGAGGAATCTCCTGCATCACATGATCTTTTAGATGTTCCAGCAAGAGTTGATAAACATCCTAGAACAGATGGATCGATGCCTGTTAGTATAAATTTAATATTCTAATAGTAAATATAACTCTATATATATAGACAACTCCTGATAAACAACGTCTATCGACTAAAAGTCCAAGAGATATATCACATATGTACGTAATTAAACCATACATTTAAATTAATATATATATATATATATATGAATTTTAGAGAATTTAAAGATCTAGATCATGAAGATGATTATCTTGAAATAATACATCCGGAGCCGGAAATACAAATAAGTCGTGAAGAACTTCTTGCTCGTTATCAAGTTTGTTATTATTTATATAAATATTTTATTCGATTTTATTTTTTAAAGACAGCTGAAGTTGAACGTGATCGTTTAAGAAGTATAAATGTTGCATTTCAACAACGTTTAGCTGAATATTTACAAAAACGAAAAGTAATATTTAGAAAAATTTTATTTTGTTAATAATTATCTATTTCATAGGGTACTGAAGATATCCCAACTGTAAATCAAGGAGCTGAACGTTCAACAACTGAATTACAACAACGTTATCAAAAATATCTAAGTGAAATCGAAACTTTACAAGGTCGTATAGAACGTGATCAAGTTGATTATGAAAAGAAACGAAATGAATATGAACAACAAATTCAAACAAAAAAAGAACATGTTGATGAATTAAAAGTTGAATATGTTAAATTAGTTAAACAAATTGCATCAAAAGCTGTTTTTACTCGTAGTGGAAAATCTATTTCTAATCAGGTACTTTAAAAACAAAATAGAATAGATAAAATTTAGATATTAATAGATTCATTTGTGTTTTGAATATTAATTTTAATACAGGATTGGCGTAAACCGCCAAGAAATTTTTCTGTTGTATGTATATTTCTTCTCACCATATTATCATTATTCTTATAGTACTTTGCAGTGCTTGACTCTTTCGAAGATAACTAGTTCATATTTTAATCATTTTTTTTTCGTATTATTTTAGGAAGTGGAAAATTATTTAACACAATTAAGAGAAAAAGAAGAAGATTTAATTAAAGTAGGATAGAATTATATGATTTTGTTTATATAAATAGATGATTTTTTTATAGACACGTCATGAAAATATTCGTTTAAAAAATCAATTAAAAAAACGTGAATTACAATTGAAATCAAAAGAAGAATTAGCTGAAGGTTTTCATATGATCGATTTTGAACAATTGAAAATTGAAAATCAAACTTATAGTGAAAAAATTGAAGAACGAAATGAAGTATAGGAAATTTTGTTCTATTTGTAGTTATTCATAGACTATTTTCTTTTAAAGGAATTATCTAAACTTCGTAAAAAAATTGGTACAACTGTTCAAATTCTTAGTCATATCAAAGAAAAACTTAATTATGTTGGTCAACAACGTGCCAAAGCAGAAAATTCACTTAAAGATAAAGAAACTGAAGTAAAACAGGTATATATATATATATTCAAATATTTCCTATTTTAAAAGTACATTTTACTTTGTCAATATTTGAAAGCATTGAGAATCTTGAATATAATTAAATTGACAAACAATTTCTATTGTTTGATACGTACATATTTGAGGTCATTTCTACTTAGAATGAATATTCTATATTGATTTTTGGTAAATTTTTCAATAATGTCGATCAAGATTCTTCGGATAGTTAGAGGACATATTTTATTCATAAATAAATATTTACGAGATAAAATAACTAAATTGGTATTTATCATTTATGATATTAATATCTCAATTTCTTAAGTATAATATTTAAAGCCTTTGGACTATATAATTAAAAATACGAAATATTCGATTTAGACGTTTAAAGTACTATATATTCAAGTATCATCAAATATAGAAGACAGCTGGCGCTTTTCACAGTATTTATTGTAACAGTAAAATGATAGGAATCTTCAGTGAGGGGGTGGTGGTCGCCACTGAGAATCCTTTAAGAAATGATAGATGTCATCCTATAAAAATATCTTATTATTTAGAAACGTGATGAATTAGCAACAATAAAACGTCGTCGTGATCGTTTACGACAAGAAAATCAATTATTAAAACAAAGTTCTGGTCTTATTGGTAATGAACAATTATTACGTGATTATGAAGAACGTTATGATGAAATTGAAAGATGTACTGACAAACTTGATAATTTAAAAAAACGTCATGCTGAAATAACTCTTACGTGTAAAGTATTGAAGAAGAAAATTTCTAAAGTTCAATAATATATATTTTTAAACATACAATAAAAGCACTTTCCGGATTTTTTTTTCTTTCTAAATACAATAATTCATAGTAAACAAAATCGTATATATTTTTTTTTATACAAGTTCAAAAAATATTTAAAGAGTAAAATATGGCTGACGAATTAATGCTAAACATTGTTGTCGTAAACGGTTAAGATCATTATTTTTATTTGTTATGGATATATTAGCAGCTTGTTGAAGAAGATTTCGATAATGATAAGTTGTTGATGGTAGAAAATGACAGAATAATAAAAGTGCTGCAATTATATCGAGATTAGGCAATTCTTCAAATACAAAGAAAGGATGTTGTTATTATTATTATGATCAATTATTATTTTCTTACCTTCTTTAATTTGAATAGTTGAATTTTGTTGTTGTTGTTTAAGTGCACGTTCAAATAATGTATGAGTAGCTAATGGATTTAAACCGGATGATATACGAAATATTGACTCAAATAAATAAACCTACAAAAAATATAATAGAAGAAAAAAACACTCAATAGAGAATGTAATCATTACTCGTTGTTTAGGTAATTTCATCATTCGATTAAGTTGTTTATAGTTGTCGAGTTCTTGTTGAAAATCATTAAGATATGGAAGTTTTTTATCATTAATTGTCATTATACTTGTAAGAAGTCGAAGACGTAATGAAAGTATACCATCGAGTATTAAAGTATTAATTGCCTAGATAAAATAAAATCTTTCTATTATTAAAAGCTCATCGAGTTAGTTAGAGTGTACAGGAAGTATAAGTGATTAAGCGGAAGAGCTCTGAGTCAGGCCGGTTTTCTATCGAGCATTACAAAATTTCGAAACTGTCTTCAGATGATGCCTCACATTGCAAGGCATTCTTTGTTTCTTTCACTTACTAAATCAACATTGTCTTCATTATTATTAGTATTATTATTCACATTGATACAATCTTCAATCATTGATGTTATTAACCGACTTGTTTGTCCTAATTGTTCTAATAAGGATAATCTAGTTGAATTTGTTTGTTCATCATCATCATTTAATACAAGAAGTATACTATGAATTGTTTCAATAATTAAAATAAATCTTTCACTAAATATATATATAAATTATTAGAAAAATAATTATTCGTATTTTGTTTTTGTTAACATACTCAACAAGATTCATTGATCGTGCCATATGATAAATTGTTTGATTTGATTCTTCACTTTGTCGAAGTAAATCACTTGATGTTATATTATCAATTAATTGTTTATCATTTGATATACAACGTAAAACTTGTAAACTATGTTGCCACCATGAAAAACGATCTAAATCATATTCATTTTTAATTATTATTTGTTGTTGTTGTTGTTGTTGTTGTTGTTGAGATTGATTATCATCTTGTTGTAATAAAAGTTGATTATGAATATTATCATAAAGTATATATTCTAAATATTGACAACGTATTGATTCAATAAAATTTGTTTGTTTAAATTCAATATATTTTTTATCAAATATAAATTGATTTAAACGATCAATATCGGCTAACCAAATATCATTCATATCAATTAATAAAAGACATTTTAATATATATGGAATAAATATTGAAAATATTCCACCTAATTTTTTTAATGTTAATGCTGATAGAAGATAAATTTCATTATGTTTTTTAATATCAAATTTTTTTCCAGCATTCATCGATGTATTGATTGTTGAAAGAAATAAATTAAAAAGTGATAATGATGATGATGAATTATGATATTCAATTTTCCATAATTGTAAAAGACAATCATTTAATTCACGATTATAATCACGTGTATCAATCGATTTTGTCCAACCAGACCAAAATATTAACCAACGACCAAGAAATATTAAATTTACACATAAACGTGTCATTTGCCATGTTATTGATGATAGATAATAGAGAAGACTATTATCAATAGTTACATAAAGTTTTTCGCAGCATTGACGATAATATATACGTGCTTCATTTAATTGATTCTAAAGATAAATAAAATATTATCAAAAAAACTGATGTTACATTAATACCTCAGCCATAAGTTGATCCGCTTTTTTCTTATAAACATAATATTCATGCATTTCCGATTCGGGTACAATCGGTTCCCCGTAAACAAATAATTTAACCAAACAAACAAGACATATTCCTAAATTGAGTGTCCAAGCAACTAATTGTCGCCATGATGTACTTAGAAATGCTATTAAGAAATAATTTATTATATAAAACAAAAAAAAGATTTTTTTCGAAAATTATTTTACTTGATGAATTAATATTTTCATTATTAGTTGCCGATTGTAATGTTCTTGAACCAACGATTGATTGCATATCGCCCATATCATTTGATTCCGATGAATGTATAAGATTAAGTAAATAATTAAATGGATTTGTTATAAGAACGCATAACATAAAACAACATAAAACTAATCGAGATCCATTAACCATACCTTGTTTACTAGTTGTACGTTTTTGTCCTGAGAAATGAAAAAAACAGCTCAAGTAATTACATCATAAAAAAGTTTTTAATTTTACGTTTTGGAACAGGACTATATGCTTCATCACTTGAACCAAGTGTTGATTCACTTGATTCGCTGTGTGATGATGGTGGTGTTGTAGGATTTTTAACTGAAGAATTTCTATCTGTTGATGGTGATTCATTATTATGTGAAACATCAACATCTAAGATCAATGAAGAAATAAAATAAATGTAAATAGTTGAAATTTTACTCGTTAAATTTAAACGTTTGAATATGGTTTTCAAAGTAGTATTTTCTTCTTCTAATCGTCGATTAACTGCTTGAAGTTGTCGAATATATTCAACTGTTCGTCGAAGTACACCAGATTTTTGTACCTAATTGACACAAAAAAAATAAACAAGATATAATAAGTCTAGTTGAACTTTTTTCTTCAGGCACTTGACCTGACTTTCTTATTCAACAAGTTCAAGCATATCAGTCAAGAACACTTACTGATACCCTGATTAAAAGTACTAGATACGTTTTTTTTGCATAACGTATTATCATATTTTGCCTACCTTTTCGTCAGTATCTGCAACAATTTCTTTTAATTCAAGTATTCTTTCGTTGATACTTGATCGATATCTCTTTTCAATAGCATTATGTGATGATTTTCGTCGAACACGACCGCCACTACCATTTCCAAAATTCATACTTGATGATGACATATTGTTTGATGGTGAATCATGTCTGCTACCTTCATCGGAACTATTATTATTATTGTTATTATTCGTATAATTTGATTGATTGATAATTTTCAAAGGAATATTATTTCCAATAATAGTACTATTTTCTAAAAGACTTGAAAATGATCCAACATTTGTTGATGATGTATCGGGTGCAGAACAGATTAACTAAAGAACAAAGAAATAATTAGGATTTATTCGAAGATAATTTTTATTTTATACAGCTTGGAATTGATCTAATGTAACTGGTATTGGTTCAGGTTTTTTAATTAATTTAGGAAGATGAACAGGTGGTGGTGGTCGAGAGCGTTTTGATGATGTTGATTTTCTTCCGGGAGAATTTTTATTTGATTGATATTCTGGCATATTCATAGATACCATTGCAGATGGCTTAAAAATAAGAAAACAAAAAATGTAATGAAAAGAGATATTTTGCTTTTTAATTACTTCAATATAATTTGTTGGAATTGCAGGTGGTGGAGGAGATGATGAATATTTAACAATTGTTTGTTGTGCTTGATGTTGTTCAATTAAAGATTTTAATGTATTTGAAGAAATATAATCATCTATAGGTGGTTGAACATTTGTATTATGTGTCATTTGATTTGTTTGAATTGGAAGTATTGTTGCTTCATAGGGTGGTGGTTGTAATTCAATGGGAGCTTGTTGAAGAAAAGGTGTATTCGCATTTGCTGGAGAATCAAAATATGTGAAATCATTTGGATTTATATCGAATTCAGAAAAAAAATCACTAAAAGCTGTGTCAGATAATTTCAAATCACATGTTAAATAATCTTTAATATCTATAATAGAATAAAAGATTGATTTTTTTAAATTTAACATTAAAAATATCTTACCGCCTACAGCCGTTGTATCGATATGCATGGATTGTTGCTGATGCTGTTGCTCTTGTTGTTGATATTCATCAAATTGAAATAAATTACCACTCATCATCGTTTCTAAGTTATTCGACTAATATGAAAAAAAAAGAAAAAAAGATGAATGAATAAAATTCTTTTTTTAGTTAAAAGTAGTTTCTTTCGAAACGATCACGCCATTCTGATTATATGGAAGAATGAGTCATAATAATGTCACTTGAAGAAAAAAAAAATCTCATACTTATCATTCAAGGTCCTTCAAGTCCTATCAAAAAACTTTTCAAAACAAGTTATTACTATAGATGTCGCTGCTATACAGTGAAAAAGAGTTATAGGAATTTATTATATCTGATAAGTTTGCACTAGATAAAATAGTACGATTATCAAAAAATATGTATAATCCACTTTTGTTCTGTGTAGATTACAAAAATTCATTCAGATTTCTTATCTGATGTTTTTTGTTACATTTGTGAATCATTCAGAAATGAAAACATAAAGAAAGCATTATCTTATATTCTCAATCCAATTAAATCAATGACAAATTTTATTTTAAGTCTCTTTTCTTGTTCTTCAAAAAAAAATAATACCGGGTTTGAATATATCTATACACATATACATACACACGCACACAAAAACCTTTTGTCAACAATTAATAAGAAAAACTGTCGTAATTTTATACAAAAATTTTTCTAGATCATAACAATCACTATTATAAAAAAAAAGTTGAATATTTTAATCATTGCTGCCTTTTGGTCGTTGCATTTTCCAAAAACGTTTTACTTCTTCATGACCAGCTTTTGATACAATAACACATCGTTTTTGTGAATTACTCCAAAGTAATACATTTAAATCCTTCAGAAAAGAAAATAATATTATTTAAATAAATGAAGAAATACAAATTACTTTAGCATATTTTTCAATTAATTCAAAATCATTTGCACTATTAAATTGACTATAAAGCATGCCTTCTTGATCAACAATACGATCTCGTTCCATTTCCCTATTATAAATAAATTTAAAAAAATATTAACAATCTACGAATATGAATTTACCATAGACGAATTTGATCACTTATTGTTGTTGGAATCAAAGGTTTATTTTCTAATAACTACAAAATATGAAAATAGAAATGATATTAAATTAGAAAATTCTATTATTCATACTCGTTTACGCATTTGTGGATGTGCATGAGATTTAAGAAAATTTAAAATCTAAAAATATATCTTTAATAAGAAATAATGAATTTATTTTCATACCAAATCTGCAGAAATTTCATTGCTTAATGCTTTGCGAATACTCTGTCGAGTTATAAGACCAACACTCATATTTGGAAATCTAAATATTAAACATTATTAATATTGAAAATGATGAGTAATATACCTATAAAGCATTTTACAAAATAACGCAGTGATTCTTAAATATAAATCATTATCTATTAATTTAAAGAAAAAAGTTTGTTATAAATAGAATAATATCGAAACAAACTTGTATAAGCATAAACACGATAATTTGTTTCAACAACAAGAAAACCAGATTGAATTTCATCATTTCCATGTTCTCCATATGTAGTTGTTGCTAAACCAGATGCTAATTCAATAGCAAGTTTAGTTGGAAAATAACGTTTGATTTTTCTCTAAAATTATCACAAAATCAATATAATCCATCGAATAGTTCGTTTTTATTACCGTTTTTTGCCAAATAAGGCCAAGTTCTCGAAGATGTTGAAGAAAATTTTCTTTAGTTGCACTGAATTTTTCACATGAATAATCCTATAGGAAATAAAGAAATATATATTTACTTCAATGATCAATTTACTTTGCCAAATGTTGCAAAACTAAGTTGAAATAAAAATATTAAATGTTCACTTATATCTTCACCACGTTGCTAAAAATTATTTTGAGATATAAGAACAAAGTTTCGATGAAAAGAATATACAATCTACTTGACGTGTTTCCAGAGAATTGATAATAAAAAACCATACTTGTGTTCGTCGATTCATTAATAGAAATTGAAAACCAGTGCCTGTAATTTGATACGGATCAGTGCTGGCTGAAGACGTATCATCATTTCTATTATTATTAAAAGAAAATCTTATGATGTAAAACAAAATAAATAAATACCGTTTGAGTAATTTAGCATGAACAAAAACATCAATTGTATCACGAGTTATTTGTCCACGATCAGGATTGACTAGATATTGTAAAACACACTAGAAGAAAAAACGTATATGTAGAACGAATTTAAATCAAAGATTATTTTATATTACATCCCACCGAGTTGAAGAGTACGTATTGAGTTCTTCGAGTTTTTTAATACTACGTTCACTAGGAGTTGATACCGAATCAGTTTCATCAAGCCAATTAGTTGTCCCACCAAAAATAGCACCGGTTAAATTATTTCTAAATGTAACATCTAATTGCCAATCAGTACCAACTTCATTCCAAATGCCTAGCTTAACAAGCATTCGCGTAATATTTTTATATGTACTAATAATATAAAAAGAGATTTATAACATTTTAAAATTGATGCTTTATTTACTTTTGATGAGATGGATTAATCCATGAAGATGCAACACCTTGACTTATTGGTTGTGGTTGTCCAGTTAATTCTGAATTAGGTAAACAAATAAATCTCATAATAATCGTTCTTGCAAGTACCGGTAATTCACTATGAAATATTCGAAATAGAAAATAAATCTTGCAAATATTTATTTAACAAACCGAAATATTGCGAGACAACTTGCAGGATGTCCATAAATATTTTGTGTTACATTCGTTGGTAAACTCGAAATATACTCTTGTAAATTAGCAAATTGACCCGACATTATTTTCTAATAATCTAAAAATCTATTTGATTTTTTTTTATCAAACACATTTAACTTGAATTTATTTGTCCATTCTCATCAAAAAAAAATATAACAGTCTTATCTCTCGATTTTATATTTTCTTTTAATCTCAACACTTAACATAAACAACAAAAAAAGAGAGAATACACGAAAAAAAAGAGAAACTCTAGATTTAATTAATCTGTTCCGGTGACCAAATTTTTAATGTTCGATCATAAGAAACAGTTGCAATCCATCGTCCATCGAGAGATATATCTGCTGACATTATTTTTTGTTCATGTCCCGTTGAAGAGAATAATGCTGACCATACTGGATGCATCCATAATTTAATTGTATTATCATATGAAACAGTTACTAAATAATGTCCTTCAGAACCTAAAGAAAAAAAGAAGAAGCAAACTAACAAAATTATTATATGAATAAAAACATACGTTGAAATCTAACAGTTGAAACTAAATTTTGATGAGCTGCAATACTATAAGCATTTTTTATTTGCCGTAAATCCCAAATTTTACATAAATTATCTTCTGAACCAGTTGCAATATGATATCTAATAAATACAAAAAAATTAATGAAAATAATTCGAAAATTTTATTCTAACAAACCCATTAGGTGAAAAGTCAATTGATAAAATTGGTTTAAGATGACCTTCTAAGAACATAATACAACGCCCAGTTCGAATATCCCATACACGACCGTATGCATCCATTCCACTAAAACGAAATATAGAAACAATTCAACATAGTATATAGATAGATTACTTACGCAGTAGCTGTTAAACTTCCATCGCATTGAAATGTTATATCATGAACAGCTTTTGAATGACCTTCTTGATGTAAGATTTCTTCTTGAGTTTCAAGATCCCATAAACGCCATGAATGATCATAACTAAATAAAAACAAAATAGTATTATTATTATTGAATTAAACATTTTTTTACCAAGCAGTCGCTAAAAATCTTCCTGATGGATGAAATTTCGTTTTTGCTACACGAAATGGTGCATGACCTAAATAGAAATAAATATATCGTAATTTTTTTATTTTTCTTTCTTTGCAATTACCTTCAATTTCGGCAATAGGTTCATCACTTTCAAGATTCCATAATTTAACACTTCCATCAAATGCACTCGATGCTAAATTAATCATAGCTGGATCTTGTGTTAAAGTCGATTGAGGATGCCAACTAACACAACAAGCATTTACTGTATGACCACGTAATGTTCGGACATGTCTACAATCTGGTACCGTCCAAATTTTACATAAACCGCTCCTAGATTAAACAAAAGTTTTATTTAATAAATACAAACAAAAAATAAATTACCATGAAGAAACTGCAACCATTTGATCATTTGGACTAAATTCACAATAGGATAAAGGACGAGCATCACCAACTTGACTGCAATGTAATGATGTAGCCTACCCAAAACAAAAAACGAATAAATTAAAAATAATCAATGAATAAACTTCAATTTTTACTCGTAATGCACGATATAAATTTTGAACTCTAGCTGTTCGGTGTACTTCAGGAATAGCTACATATTCTTTTAATCTTTGAATTCGTTCTTTAGCTCTAATTAGAAAAAAAGAAACAATCAATATTTTAGAAAATTTATTTACTGTCATTATTTTACTTTGGTAAAGAATATTGAGCAATCCAATATCGTGCCATTTGTAATTCATCAGATCCTTCATGATACCATGTCACTTCCTTAAGAAAAATCAATAAAAAAACCAAAATTATTTCTTTTTTTATTTACTTCTTTTGTATCTTCATTTTTTCTATCATCTTCTTCTTTTTTACGTAATTTCTGTGCGATTTCATCATCAGATAAACGTGAAATTAAATTACGAAGACGTTCACGTCGTTCTGCTGGTCCTTCACCGAATAAACCTAAATATAAAAAGATTATTATTTAATTAAGATCTTTCTATTTTCTTACAAATAGGTTCTCCTAATTGACGTAGATTTGCTTTGACTTCAATATCATCAGTTGAAACATGAATTTGTCGAGCCTAAAGAAAATAAAAAATATAATTTTTTTAATTAAAATACAAAGTGTTTTTTACTCTGCGACGTCGTTCAAATTCAGCAAGAAGTGCTTGTTGATCTTCAGCAAATGGTTGATCTTCTAATCTAACTGTTTCAGCTAAATAATAATCAATAAAAATTAATCAATATAATATAAATACAACATACATTCACGACGTGTTAGAATAGATGTTTGTTGTTGTTCAAAATTTTGTCTTCCTGCTGCTTGATTAATAAGATCAGTATGTACACGTTCAGCATGATCAACATTAGCTGTTGTACGCCTATTAGGCATTGAAAAAGATTCATCTTGAATCATCTGAAAATAAATTTCAATATAATATCATTTATATACATATGAATAAATCTAATAACCGTCTTTTATTATTATCACTATGTTGAATCTAATAAATTGTTTAAAATTAATCATATCTAAAAAATGATGTATATCATAATTTCTTGTTTATTTCCTAACAACACAAAAAAGAAAAAGTTTCTATTTTTTTTTATTTTAACAAGCATTTTTAATACGACTGAAACATTCCATAAGTTGTACATGTACATGATTATGTAATTTCATTGGTAATAAACCAATAAAACGAAAAAGAACATCAGCTTGTCGTTTTAATTCATCTAAGAGACCTTGTTTATTTGTACTAAGAATATTTGATGTTCGTTGATCTAATGAACTTGTTGATGCAAGTAATAAATGTTGATTGGATATATTTGTTGATGATTTATATTCTACACTTGCTAATATTGCCATTAATGTTAATGTTATAAGTATTATATCTGAATAACAATCAAGTATTTCTGATGAATAATAATTAATTGATTCAAGACATTGATCTATTTGTGTATGTGCAAATGGTAATAATGATAATTTTTGTATGATTTCATATGCACGTTCAAATTGTTGTGATTTAAAAAATTCAATATAAACATAAATATCAAGAAGTGTATATAATGTATTTGTTGTACGATCAAATTCATTTTGTGTTGAAGATAAACGAGATGCAAATGAACGTGCACTACTTAATACATTAGATGAACCTGGTGTATTCGATGTTATTAATGTATGAATTGCTTCAGATAGAAGACGATTATATATAGAACATGCTTGTCGTGATTTCTAAACAGAAATATTAGTTAAAAAAAAATTATATATATATGATTTACCTTTGCACGATCATAGAGTACTGCTGCTAATTCTAAATGTCCATGTTTTTCTAGATAAAGTCCTACATTAGCAGTAACAACATTTGTATCAATATCAAGATGATCAAGAATACGAGCCTAATAAAAAAAAGGAAAATAAATTTCATATTTTGAAAATATCGATAGATTCTACTTCAGTTAAAACACCTTGTCTATTAACACCAAATAATCTTTCAAGTAAATTATCAGTATCGTTATCATTTAATTTTATTAATAAAATTGCTAATGATTCAATAAAACAATTTTCACCATCTTTTTGTTTAATTTGTTTAAGTAAGTAAAAATAATTAATTATTTGCCATAATTCCGTATCATAACGGCATTTTTCTGTATAGGTTGTTAATAAACGTTGATAATTTAATGATTTTAATGGATCTTCTGCTGTTAATGTTGTTGTTACTATTAGAAAGATTGAAAAATTGAATTATTTTCTAAAAAATAAAACTTACACATTGGACTATCTGATTTTGAAGCTGTAGAAAGTAATCGACTTTCATGTAAATGTATTCCTATATGAACAGCATGGCAATGAAATTGTTCTATTTGATTTAATAAATCAATCGCTGTTTCAAATTGTCCAGTTAATAATAAACACATTGCAAATTGAACTGGTTTTTCATTAAATAAACTTCGATTTCCACCTATTGAAAATTTTTATATCATCAAGCAAAGGAAAAATCAAAACTATTCTTACTTCCTTCATTGTAGACAAGCTTTTGTAATTTATTAAGTGTCATTAAATCTTGATTAGGAAATACAATTTGAGATAAACGAAGCCAAAGAAGATCATCAATGGAATTTATTATTAATTCATGCATATTATTCACATCATAAGCAGAAAGAACTGATAATACTATGCTAAAAATATATAAAATTAAAATTTATTTTAAGCATAAAAAATGAAAAAAAATATTTACCTTTTAAATGGATTCGTTAAATGTTCTCTATCGTAAACATCTTGAATTTTTAAACGAATTGTTGGATCAATTGATTGATTATTATTTTTTATATAATTAGTTAACCATTCAACAGCACTTGTTAAACTTAAAATAGAAATATGTATATATTTTTATTGATTAGGAATAATTTACTGGCATCGTTTTGCTGCATTTAATGCTGATTGTAAATCACCAGCACGTAAACAATAGAAAATTATAGACCATATTGGTAGATCATCAGTATTTCCATCCTATTATATAAATAAATAAATATTTCGAAATAAAGGAATATGATATTTACATCATCAATAATATGAACGATATTTGGATGTTTTTGTCGAATGTAACGAATTATTAATTTATATATTGAACCTGGTTTATGAAGATCATCATCTGACACAAGATTTATAAAAAGTTTTGATAATTGAACACGAAATCTAAATATTTATCATTGAAAATAAAACGAAAAAAAAAGAAAGTATACATACGAATATTCTAAATAACTTCGAGCAGATAATACAATCGCTTGTTGAGATGGTAATGATATTCGATTAGTTAAATAATCTGATGGAAGTTGACTCATATAATTCACAACATTCCATAGATCAATTGCTGCCTAAAAGAATTATTTAATTTTAATTACAATTAATATTTTTTAAATAATACTTGTGGTTGATTCGATGATTCAACAACATTTGTAAATTCATCAATTAAATTTTGTCGTGCGATTTTACCAACATTGTAAAGTGCAATCTATTTTTGAAAATAATTAAAAACATTTTTTTGTTATTTGGAATAATAGAATTTATACGTACCACTTTTGCATAAGCAGCTTCAACATTTGATAAACCTCTTGATAATGATCTTGGTGTTTCGAAACGTTTAATCTAATAAAAAAATTCTATGTAGATATATATTATCGTACGTGTTTTTGAAATTCTCTACCTGCATTGCATTTGCTTCATCAAGATAACTTTGATCATGTTTTGAAACAGTTGATAAAATTAATTGACGTTGTTTTTGCCAATTATTATCTAATACATAATTACTATGACGTGTTATTTCATCATATGTCTATAGAATAAAAAATAAATAAAATATATTTATCCGAGAAATTCATATTTACTTTATCTTCAATCATTCTTAACATCGATAAAAGTGTTTTTTCTCGTTCATGTTTAAGATAATCATTAAGATTATTTGTTAATTTTCCATCCAATTGTTGTTCAATTGTATCATCTCTTGATTTTGTTACTGTTGTTGTTGCTGCTGTTGTTTGTAATGTTTTGTCAATTTGTTCAAATTGATCTTGTATACGTTGAATATTAATACCAGTTGATGTATTTAAAAAAGCTAATGTATTTAATTGATCAAGATTACTTATTAATTCACGTTTAGTTTTTAATGATGAACGTTGTCCTTCATCAACAAGTTGATTTAAATTTCGATGTAATGAAAGATTTGTAGTTGTTGGTGTTGATGAAGACGGAGGAATTTGTGATGAATTTGTAACTATACTTTGATTTAATGGTGTTTGAGAAGTTGTATTAGATAAATTAGACGTAGATGGTGAACGTCCAATTCCTAAAAGCCAACTAAATGTACTTGACATCTTATTGAAAATAAAATTTTATTGTGTTATTACTAGAAATACTTTTTGAATTGACAAAGAATGAAAAATATCCAATCATATTTTAATAGTGTTCCCTCTATAGTAAAATTTTAATCCATTGGATATTTTATGGAAGCACGGGATTTTATTTTATACCTTTACCTATGAGAAAAAGAAAAGAAAAGAAAAAGGTGACTATTATCAAAATATTGATTTGATATTTTTCAACACGTGAATGTCAGAGGGGGATTTATATTCGACATTTTATAAATTGAGATATTTAGAGTATACATTACTTTTATTGTAGATTTTTTTAAAAATGTATGCATCAAATGAAGATGAAGATTGGGTGTATTTACATGAAACACCACCAGTAAATATTGTTCGTTCTAATTCATCGTTATCAAGTAGTAGTATTACTAGTTGCTCATCAAAATCAAATCGAACTGCTTCTTTATCTTCTATTTCTTCAATTGAGTAAGTAAAAAAAGAATTATCAAAATCTATATTAGTACTAGATGTAGTAGTAATTAAATTATTAAACTATATCCCTTTCTAAAAGTCATCGTCGTATTGGTACAAATGCTCAACAAAAAAGTTTAGTTAATTCTGAAATATATCAATCATCATACATCTCTCAAAGTATCGAACAGTATCACAATAAAACCAATACATTGATTTCTTGTACGTGCATCATTTTACTCATAACTGTATCGTTTATTCTTGGTCAAAGTGTTAAACAATGGGGTAAGATTTTTTATTTTATTTTTTTCTATTTCAAAAATGTAACATATCAATAGATCACTCAACTATGAATAAGATTGTAATCGAACTTGATAAAACAAATCAACGTTTAAATGAACTTCAGGAGATTCCATATAGAAATATTGAAGAGAAATTAAATAAACAAGTATAATATGATTAATAAATTCTTCAAATTTTTTTCTTTGATTTTAGTTAGAAGAAAAACTTTACAATATGATTAATCAACAATTATTTTGGCATGATGATGAGAAGTACAAATTTATCAAACAAGTACATGAACTTCAACAAGTATTAAATATGACAAATACTATTGATCAAGTAAATTCATATGTATGAATAAATATCTCTACTAATTATTTTTTATAATAGTTAATGAATGATAACAAACGTTTGAGAGATCAAATTAAATCATTAGAACATCGTTTAGGTATTATTAAAGAGAATGGTTCGAAAATGTGTTTAGAAGGTGTTAATGTAAGTCATATAAAATATTTTTGTCACATAATAAATCAAATGATATTTTTTTTCTCGTATTCAGTGTACACTTTCATCAACTTCAACATTGAATAAATTAGCTTCTAATATCTTTAAACAAACTATTTCAATTGCTACAAATACATCAATTAGTCTATCAGGTCTATTCGAACATTTAAGTGCATCAGTTAGTAATCTTGTTGATCATCGACATAAATATATTAACAATAGTCGAAGAAAATTAACTGATTTTACTTGTGGTTCAACAACTGCTAAAAAAATTCAAACATCGTTGTATCGTAGTGCAGAAAAGCTTTCTTCTTCATTTCGTAAAGCTAAAGTAACTTATGCCACATGGCTTAAATCACATACACAATATCGAGAACAAATGCACTATCAAGTACCTAATAAACAATATACTTGTCATTCAAAATTGAATTGTTCAATGAATAAAATACGATCAATAAAAAATTGGATGATAAAATTTCTTCGTTTATAAATTTTGCAATTTTCTACATTCCTGTATTTGTATTATGTTCAGAAAAAACAATAACAAGTGATCAATTTTCTTCCATTTTTTTTACAATTTTTATGTAAATATGTTATCTGACAATTTTTCTTTTTCTCATTTGTATATACGATTGTTTCAGGGCAATAATGACATTCTTTTTTCTTTGCTTTTTTTGATATAAATTATTTGATATGTGAATAATCAATTGATATCAGCTTATTGTGAAGAGTACTTAACATAAGAACGATTTGACAACCTGATAATATTATATGAATAAATCATTTGTTTTAGATTATATAATAAAATATAGAACACAGAATGAATGATGAAGCACTAAAATATGCTGAACGTCTTGTACCTCATTCATACATTGAATTAGCTCGACAAGCACGTCGTTCTAATGAACAAGAAATTCGATTAATACTTGAACATAAAAAAATACCTGAACAACCATTGGAAGAGAATCTTATTGAACAATGGTTAAATGAAATAGCACAAATGGATTCAAATAATTTTAAAGGAAATATTGGTGTAGGAGAGCGCGAAGGTAATAAAGAAAAAACATTTATAAGCTCAGCTACACCTAAATAATGAGATTGGTCATAAGTCTATCACAATTCATTTTAGGTCGTATTTATTCATCTCTTGTTGCACGACGTCATTCTCTACTTTCACATGGTATTGGACGTTCCGGTGATATTATTGCTACACAACCAAAAGCAGCTGGTTCATCTTTACTTAATAAACTTACTAATGAACTTGTCCTTGATGCAATTCATATTCTTGGCTTACGAACAGTGACTCATGCACTTGTTATTCCAATGGCAACCGGTAGGATTTTGGTGAGTCTGCATATTCCAATCAACACACATGTGCTTATTTTCATTTAGGAATGACAATGACTTTATGTTTATTAACATTGAAAAAACAACGACCAAATTCTCGTTATGTTCTTTGGTCACGTATTGATCAAAAAAGTTGTTTTAAATCTATTTTAACAGCAAATTTAGAACCAATTATAATTGAACAAATAGAAAATAATAATTACCTTCAAACAAACATCGATGAATTTGAAAAACAAATTCAACAATTAAATCCTAATGATATATGTTGTATCATCTCAACAACAAGTTGTTTTGCACCACGTGCAATTGATAATATTCAAAGTTTAAGTAATTTATGTAAAACATATTCAATTCCACATTTAATTAATAATGCATATGGTTTACAATCAACAAAAATCATTCATGAAATTGAACAAGTTAAACGTTCAAATGGTCGAATTGATTATATTGTACAAAGTACAGATAAAAATTTTCTTGTACCTGTTGGTGGTTCAATTGTTTTGACATATAATTCTCAATTATTTGATCAATTATCTCATGCTTATCCTGGTCGTGCTTCAATAACTCCAACAACAGATATGTTTATTACACTTTTATCAATGGGTAAAAAAGGTTTACTTGATTTAATTGAACAACGAAAACGATTATTTAATCTATTCTATGAAAAACTTTCCCAATGGGCAAAAGATAATAATGAATGTATAATTTCATCCAAACAATTTAGTCCAATATCAATTGCTATAACGCTTAAAAATTTATTAAATAAAGATGTTACTGAACTTGGTTCAATGTTATTTACTCGACGAATATCAGGTGCACGCGTTGTTAAATTAGGTACAAAACAAACAATTGATAAATATGAATTTATAAATTATGGTGCACATTCATCAACTATTCAATATTCTTATTTAACTATTGCAGCTGCTATAGGTATTGAAGAAAATGATATAGAAATCTTCATGAAAAAATTCGATGATGTTTATCAAAAATTACGACGCAATGCAACCAGTGATAATTAACAGAGAGTTTTTATTTGATTGTTTTTTATTATATGTATTACGCATAAGACCATAAATAGTCGATTTTGAAGTGAATCGTTATAAACTATATCGTATTAAACACACCACAAAGTGTTTTTGAGAATTAATCTAATCTGACTCATTTAACTACGATGAATCACTAACATAATATATATGAGTAAAAGATTTTAATTCAATAAATAAGATATTTTATTTCATTTTCGAAATATATAAAGTACAATGAAATTATTTTCAAGAATAGTTAATGATTATCACTATTTATAGTGATTGTGCAATTTTGTTTAAAATCCATGCACTAAAGTAAATAGTATTGGCATAAATATCGGGACGTGGTCTTGTAAGTGAACAATCAACTGTGCCAGACATAATACCTACTAGTTCACGATACACTATTCCATCACTAGTAACACGTTCTCGTACAAGTGGACCACCACTATCACCAAAGCCTAGTTTATATTACAATTAGTGTTGTTAACAATCAAATAATCTACTTACAGACGCCTTTACTTTCACCATAAGCACACATTTTAGATTTATCTTGAACGAAGAAGAGAGTGTAAGTCAATGATCTACAATCACTATTGGTAGCATCTACGCATTGAAGAGCAACCTGTTGAAGTTCAGTTGGTCGACTTGCATTTGTTCGATTTGGTTCACCGGATAATGAACCCCAACCACTTGCTATAGAGAATGTGATCAAAAAATTGATAAAAAAAAAAAGAAAAGATAAAAGTTCTTACCAACGACATTATGACCAACTGCACAGACAGGAGCATTTGATGGAGGCAAACAAATAAGACCAATTTTTATATTATCAACAACAACTGGCATAGCTAAACGTATAACAGCTACATCATTGGTAAGACTTGAGCTACTATAACTTTCATGTTTGAAATATTCTCGTATTGGAGTACCAGCTGCTGCTGAGAATGAACCTTTAGAAAGTTCATGAAGTCCGAAATAGAGACGGATATTTTTAGCATCAACACCATCAACACAATGAGCTGCTGTAAGGACATGTGTGTTCTTAACAAGACTGGCACCACAATAAAATCTTGATGTTCCATTGTCATGGAAGGCAACCAATAAAAGTTGAAAAGGTATAGAATGTGGAGTAGCTGCTTCACCATTAATAATACGCGATGGAGATTTTGATTGAATCGCGGAAACACCACAAACACCAGGTTGAGGCATATCTTGAGCATTTCCAAATGCCACCAAGACGACTAAAGCAATCGCTACAAAGATAGATTGCATTGTTGGTAAACGATCAATAGAAATATACCAGTTGTTTTCGTTTAACTGTTCGGTCAAAGTAATGTAAGCTGCTTTTATATGGCAAGTTTTGTCATGATTTCATAAGAGATCATAAATTATATTTTATTCTATTTGGTATTACATTCATGCAAGACAATAATAAATTAGTCAGTAGGGGTCATACACCGATCGATAACTATGGATTATAAACATCTCATTTCGTAATAAGAGATTTTTTATTATTTTATAGCTATATTTTTATTGGAATGATTAAAAGGTGTAATAAATAGATATGAGGACATATCAAAATGAATAACCTCAGATATTTATGTATATTGCTTAAGTGTTAATAATCATCGTGAGATATCAAATATTGATGATTATTATACAATTATAGTCACATGATATTTAGTATTTAAATCTTTATCTTAAGACTGTCACAGATTTCTTTTTAAAATTTACGATTAAATTCTTTTAGTTTTGACTATGAAGCATATGCCATGTGACTTAAGTCTATTCATTGTATTTATGTATTGTATAACGATCAATAAATCTTTCATCAAAATATACTTTTTCTTGCATTCCTCTTGATGATTTTTATAATTGTCAATGTTATGAAACTTAATATTTTGATATTAAATAAAGTTTTATAGTTCAAAAAATAGAATTGTATATTAATATATAGACAATAATAGTTCTACTTCAAACGGTAGGTATGGGTTTAGATACTTTTTGTGTATGTTATCCACAGCGAGACGAACAGAGACGCTTGGCATATAGGATTCGGAGGGATGAAAAAACTTGGCTGTCGTATTTTGACCCAGGTAAAGTTATCGATGAATTTGAGTATTTCCACCTGTGATTCATACTTATGCTCAAAGTCGAATTCGATGAGCTTTATCAAATGGTTTACATATATATTGTTTGAACAACTTTTGATAGAAGCAAAGTAGAGAGCGGTGGTTATCACCGTTGAAAAAGATCGAAATTTATACAACAGAAAAAAAATCACGATCATTTTGATCTATTCCAATGAATAACTATAAAATGATTCAAATAATGATAATAAAAAAAATATTCTTATGTTCATCAGAGAAATATTATTGATCAATATTCGAATTTTTATCAGTTGTGATCGAAATAAAGCGTATTATGAAACTTTGGCATATTATCGTCATTCTCATTTCGAGATATTTTCAACTGGTATGATTTTAAACTAGAATGAAATCTTATTACCATTTATATTCAACTTTGTATCTGAATAATGATTCATATGAATAAAAGACATGAATAAACATATAACATCTCTCTCACTTTTATCCATAAAGTCAAAATGAAAATGAGATGTTAGTAACGTGTCATTAAAAGTTACAAGATTAAATAAAATAATTTAAATATCGAATGGTTCATAACAAATTACTAGACAGTTATACATATTTTCATCATTGATAAATTCTTGATCATGTGTAAAATTACCTTTATATTCAATATTAATGCGTTCTTCGTTTCATAATCATTTTTTATAGTTCATAAATTAACTTATCAATAATAATATCAAATTCAAATGTTTTACTAATAGAAGCAATAATCGAAATATGTCAATGAATTGATTCATATTTATTTTTATATTGTTAATTTGTTCATCTTCGAAATTCTACAATAAATAAATGTGTTACTTTCCCATGAGTTGACAATTATTGAGTAAAGAAAAGAAGTTCAGCCAATAAAGCAAAATAATTAATTCATGTGATATGTATTCATTTGCTTGTTGAATACTAAATTGATGATATTAAAGAAATTGAGTTGAATATGTTCTCACTTTTGAGAATAAGATAAAATAATTAATTTTAAAAGTGAAATCAAATATTTTTATAAAATCATTTGAATTATTTTCTATTGCGAAATATTCAATTTCATTATTTTCGTTAAATGAAAAATATTTAATCATTTGTTAAATAATCATTTAAATGAGAGATTTTTTCATTTTCTTTTATTTATCAATATAACAGAAAAATCATTCGATTTTTCTTTACCTTTTTATCATTTTGATTAAATTCAGTGAATCATTTTGTTAACTAATGAAACTTCATAAAATATATTTTATTTATCTTTCTTTTTATTTAGATTTTAGACATAAGAGAAAAGAATTTTTATTTTACTTTTAATATTGAAATGTAAAAAGAATTTTCTTAATCTAATTGTTCCATTCTAACAGATTTCATTCTTATTGATTTGATCTTTTTTCTTCTCTCTCTTTCCTTTCTCTCAATAAATCATAAAATCAAAAAAAAGAAATCTAATAAAATGTCTGTTTAGAAGCTTTTTTTTTAATTTAAATGTTTTTCTCAATTTGAAAAATATTTTATTTAATTTGTCTATAAAAACTAAATTTTCTCTAATGGAATTCTCTTTAAATTCTTTTAATTTGACTCATTCAACAAAAATTCTATTCGAATTGTTTTATTCATTTTGGTTTTTTTAAGTTCAAATTAAAATCAACGAATATTTATTTACTTTTTTTCTAACAATTACAAACAAACTTATCTATTCTATTAAACGAAATTTTTTAATTTATCTTCAAAAATACAAATCGAAATTTTATCAAAATAAATTAAAAATATTTTTAATTTGAAAGTTTTTCATATTTTTGGATTCAATGATTTTCATAATCAGCAATATAAAGGTTTTCTTCACTATCAAATGAGTATATATCACGACATCTTGGGCAATAGAAAAGAAACTACTAAACGCAAGTAGTTGTTATGCAATTATGATGTACAATAAATGAAGAAACAACGGGAAAAAAATTGAAAATCACTTTTTCAAGAATATCTAGCAGAAACAACATCTAATAAATAATTTATTTTTCCTTGTTTTGATCATTCTCAAGTTGATTAATATTCTAAAATAACACGACAAAATAATTATGCTTCTAATCATCGCTGTGGAATTCTTGTACAAGTAAAATCTTTTCTAAAACATAAAGAAGTGATCATTGAGAATATGGAAATGGCTATAGGCCTAGAATGGATTCTACACTCACACCCGCCGATACAACATTTGTGTCAAAAATAAAAAGATAGTTTAATATGTACTTTTTCTTAAAACTTCACCTTATTCAATGTGATGAAATAAATAGAGATTCATGATTTTAAAGATAATTTATTAGTTAAGAAATAAAAATGAGATATTAGTATAAAGTAGAATAATATGAGATTAGTAAGTAAGGATAAAAATAAAAAGTATGGTTAATTGAAAAAAGAAAAAGTATTTTTATTGTTCAGTTAAAATTTGATTTCAGATGACAGGCATATCTGTTATTGTCTTCTTTTGAAATACAACTCGCCAATATTGTGAACGTCCTTGACTCATGTCTTCATAAACTTGAGTACCAGGTAATCCAGCAAACAGACGAAAATATTCTTGTTCTTCAGGTTGAATATAACGTTGAATGAAATCAGTACGAGATTTATTTTGAATGTCAAGTGCATGAAGAACATTCTTTGTAATATCAATCTTTTCTTCAATAATTAAGCCATCATTTGCTATCAGATCATAAATTGATGCATCTGGTCCATTCATGTGACAAAAATCACACCATAAAAGATATCCATTTGGACGAAGTACACGAGTGACTTCGTTGGCAAATTGTGTGATTGCTACTGGATCGCCAAAAGAATGTGTTGCTTCGATACAAAGAATAATATCAGCTGACTCATTTTCAAATGGTAAGTGTTTTGTTGCATCAGCTGCTACGAAAGAAAGTCGAGGAGTTGTCGAATAAAGTCTTTGACATAAGTTAATGATATCTTGAGAAGGATCTATTCCAATATAAGAGTGAGATGCATGAGTATGAACACACCATGCAGCACCAGCACCTCTACCACAATTAATTTCAAGGACATTCTGATCTGTTAATGTCACATTTGCAAGAACCTAGAAAATAAAACAAAATATTTCACTCATGGCTTGTATATCAGAAAATCTCATAAAATTTCCGTCTTTTCTTTGTATATCAACTATTATGTGTCGTATGTTCGTAATACAGTGAATAGTTTTATCAACAGTTATTTCAATTGATTTTAAGAGATTTTTCTAACAGACTTCTAATATGCATACCACTGAAATTATTTTTAGTCATTACAATAGACTGTATTCTACATATTATTTCGATGTCGTATGTTTATTGGATGATTTTCTTTTCATATTTAGAGTGTATAACATTTAATAAAACAATCTTATATTCATATTCATATAAATTCCTTACAAATCAAAGACAAAGACTAAATCTGTTAATAGTGGGTGCGATGCAGGACAAAAATATCACTAAAATCAAGTCTTATATTCTTTTCTACATACCTGTTCATACAACTTTCTTGAATAATAGCCAGTATCATCATCGATATATTCATTCATATTGGCATAGCCATAATTCATAAATTGTAAGTCGTTTACACTCGTATAAATACTTGCAATTCGTTCGTACCAGAGAAACAATTTGTTAATGACCTCGTATCCTTGTTGATATTTTGCGATATCGTTATGAGCTATTACTGGTCGAGATAATCTTGCTTTTACAATGCAAGATTCTAGAAGAAAGAGATTTAATATAATAAAACAATAAATGAATTCATATGCAGCAATTCGAAATAAGCAGTCTAACTTCAAATGAAACTATTTTAAAGAATAAGATATCAGAATACAGATATGATAAAACGTATGATAAACATTAAAGAATGTAAGTTTTGTGTCCATTTCGAAAATAGTGTGAATGCACAATCTTATCAAGATGTTTAATGTATAGTTTTTTAATTTTTCAGTCTAATTATAAAACTAGTTAATTTAACTACAGTTTAAAACGTTACGAATTCTGTACTCCATTGTATCTTCGTCGTGTCATATAGTTAAGAAAAATATTGTTTGTAAATTGGTTTTGTGTCACAAACTATTATTTATTAATATGAAATGATAATTTTAAACTGATATAATACTAGTACAAGACGCTAATAAATAATTATAAGTTGAAACTAACGAAGAGATTTAATTGAATTCCATATTAACAAAAGAAAACGATAAAAATAGATTCGATGTATAGTATATCATATGTTATGGTCAGTGGGATAGTTTAGAAAATAATCTAGTATCAGTGAAAAACAGCATTACTTAAATGATTTTAGCATGGTTTGTCAGCAGAAGACCTAGAAAATGTGATACTCAATTTAGCTTCTTATATTGGAACTATTATATGCTCATTTTTAAGAATAGTATATCTCACTAAAAAGAAATGATAGGATATAAAAATGAACATTAATAACGATTAGACAATATCTCGGAAGTCTTATATAAAAGCAGATTATCTATTCAAGTGACCTACGTGCAGGAAGCCCTTTCCAATGAGTATTCAGTGGTAATTGATCATTTTTCATTATCAATGTTAAGGGATAAAGACGATTGTTACCCATTAGTTTGCAGCCTGGCATTACAATTGCGTAACTCATCAGTATACATGAATTACCGATTGATACTGGAGCTAGTTTTAAAATCCGTTGCTCGAAACTATGACCCTGAAAAGGTACAGAAAAACAATTTTATGTGAAGATAAATAACAAAAAACTTATGTATTACCTGTATCTGTGTACGCACATTAAGTCGAACATCATCTCCAATAGTCATCAAAGGATAATCAGTAATACTGGATACATCAGGCATTATGACATTCTCACCAATATGAGCACCATATGCTCGACATAGTCGAATCAGCCATTGTGTATTGCCAAGAAATGGACAAATAAATTGTGCATAATCTTGACTCATTCTTGCTATTATGTGTTGTAAAATTTGATGGTGTAAATATGAACGACATCGATAGAGGCCACAGACAAGTATGGTATAAATGATTGATCCACTTACTAGACCACCAAACGAATAAATGCTTAATAAAAGACATTTGCTGACATAATGAGACAAACATGTACACCAAAATGGCATGATTTCGATCTGATCTTGTACTGTTGACCTTACAGGCATTTGAAATGGCATTATATGAGCTGGAACACCCATGAAAACTTCTCCGTATTTGCTTTTTGTCTCTCGCGAGATGCGTGTTAAATTACCAACCATTGTCTCAGATGCAAGGTAACTACCAGGCATGATTGAACATCCATTGGCAAGGTTTGTATGAGATCCGAGCACTATTTGATCTACACGATGATCACCTGAGAGTGTCAACTCAGTAGGAACTATTAAGACTCCACCAAAAGTAGTAACACCCTTTTCGAGTTTTAATAGATTTGTTGGACAGGATAGAAAAGTGCCTATCTGAGCGAGTTTGACATTCTCTTCGATATGAGCACCTAACCAACGAAGAACATAAGGATAAAGATAATCGTAGGCAGTTGGTAATAGCCAAGCATGATGAAAAGTAGATACAACTAATTGACGAAGCCATATTTTTTGTAAATATAACCTAGATGCTATCGGATATATTTCACCAGCAACACAGGGCCCTACTATGAATTTCAACAGGAGAAACGAGATAAAACAACCAATAATTGACCATAAAGTCCAGCAAAAAGCAATACTGATTAGTAGTGGTATTTGTCTAACTGAATAAACTTTATAGACAAGGATCAAAAGTGTATAATGAATACAGATTATCGAGATGATTACAAGAATTTGGTAGATCTTATGCCATATCGATAATGATCTGTTACTCTGCACAATGGAAATGTCTGACGGAAGAGATTTGTGTTCTTCACCATCAACAATCGTTTCAGATGCAACGAAACCAGTGACTGATGACATTGGTTGAACAATAATATTGTTTTGCATATCAACTCCATCAAATAGAATCGATTGTGCACCGATTAAACAATTAGATCCAATTCTAATTGGACTCAGTTTGAACGTGTCGTCATCATTAAAATATAAACAGTTCAGATATGTTTCATTAGCAATCCAACTTTCATCATCAATTTCTAACAACCATGGGGCATCGATAATTGTGGTATAAATATGTGTGTTGAGACTTATTCGTGCACCACAAAGACGAAGATAATAATTGTATAGCGGTGTACCAAGTATATGCTGCAACCAAAATGTATTATTATTCCAAAGTCGATCTAAAAACCACCATCGATAATAATTCCAAGAGAAAACATTGCCATCTTTGATGTTTCGCCGTGATAGTAGTTGTGAGCAAATGACATAGAATAGAAGATGACATATTGGTAAGATAGGGAAAAGAAGTGGACACCATTGATGAATTACCATGATTGGCAACAACCACTGGCAAACAAGGAGTGCAATACCTACAGATTCTATAACAAACGACGGTGAAAAACGAACATGTGTTTCATGAGACTGACTAGTTGTGCACACTATCTCTTCTGGTGCATCCAAAATCAATAAAGGTTCTATTGCTATAGCCAACTGTCGAATAGATGGATAAGTAAATAAAAGGCCAATGTCGATATTAGTACACAGCTGTTGTCGTATTAATGTAAGTGCACGTATAGCGTCTAGAGATGTTCCACCGAGCTGACCAAAAGGAACTTCAATAGGCGGAGATTCAACGTGGAAAGCTTGACTAAATATATCTTGTAACTGTTGTTCTAAGGTGGTACGCGGCACATTACCACCAATATTATCGGCTGACAACGAAAAATCAGGTGGCGGTAGAAGTTTTCGATCTATTTTTCCATTTGGATTCAGTGGCAATTTCTCAAGTATAATGAATATTGATGGTATCATATGTGGTGGAAGATGAGATTGGCAATGTTGACGTAGTTTTTCTTCATTAGTATGAGAAGAAGATTGAACATAAGCAACTAAGTAATCATCATTCCACTTCATGACAACACAAGCAGAAATAGATGTAATGTTAAGTAAACATCGTTCGATTTCACCAAGTTCAATTCGTTGTCCATGTAATTTGATTTGATGATCTTTTCTTCCTTGATAATGCAGAAGACCATTGTTATCCATTTTAACAAGATCACCTGTTCGATAAAATAGTTCATCATCTATTTCAACAAGAGCTTTTGCAGTTAAGTCATCACGTCCAAGATAACCAGCAAAGATACCCATACCTCCAACTAATAATTCTCCTTCTTGATTAATAAATATACTTTGTAAAAATTTATTTAAAATCAAGCATTGGTAGTTAGGAAGTGATCTACCAATTGGAATGCTTCTAGAATTAGTTTTAATATCAATAAGATGAAGTGTACAGGCGATTGTTATTTCTGCAGGACCGTAGTAATTCCATACATTATACTCTGATACACTATTATTTGCAATTAGAGTACTCAGTTTAACAAATAATGGTTCACCTATAAAGATAGATAAAGTAGAACAATATGCTAAAGTTCATCCCTAAGCTACCTACCGCCACTACAAAGTGATCGAAAATATTTTGAAGTAGTTTTCTTGCTAGATTGTGCGATAAATGTGAAAAAGCTTTGAATTAAACTTGGAACCATGAACATATATGTAATTTGTTTTATCTGCACGATATTGGAGAGATAGTCAAAATCTAGTGCACCTCCTGGATGAACCATAACCAATGTAGATCCATGCATCAAAGTGCCAAGTATTTCTTGAACATGAATATCAAATGAACATCGTCCGATCTGAACTACAGTATCATCTTTGTTGAATACGTCGATCCTGACTAGCGAGTTCATAAAATGAATCAAATTTACATGGCGTGCTTGAATCTGTTAGAAATAGAGAACAATGAAAACTTAGCTAGAAATGCAAATGTCAACATACTGCTTTTGGTACTCCTGTTGAACCACTTGTGAAGATAATGTACGCTATATCATCAACTGTGACTGTCACATTTGATAGTCGATCAGGGTCCATATCACTTGTGACATCGTTGCATGTCAATACGGAGCTGACATCAAATGAAATAATACTATCATTAAACTTACTCTTTGTTAACCAATGAACAAGAACAAGATGACTTTCTGTCTGTTGTATGAGAGCATGTAAACGATGTTGTGGATCTCGAGGTGATAATGGGCAATAAACACCACCACTCATTTCAATCGCCATTATACCAATAACCTATACAATATGAAAATTTCAATCATACTAAACATCAATCTAAAGAACGACTCACCATCGACAAACTTCGCTCAACACATTGACACACGACTTCACCTGGAAATACATGATATTCATTAAGAAGCGCTAAAGATAAGACTTGAACATAATACAGAAGTTCAGCATATGTCAATGATTGTTCATCCAATTCAACTGCTAGTTTTTGTGGATGTTTCATTACTTGGCAAGCAAATGCATGCTGAGTACAAGTGACAGGAGATGGAAATGATACTTGTGTATTATTCAATGATTGCATGAGTAATCTTTCATTTGGTAATGTTAGTGATATTTCATAAATGGATTTATTCATTTGATCATCAACAGATGTAAATAAGTGTTTCAACATTGAATAAAATCGTTGAGATATCTTATCAGTTGTTTCTACATTGAATAAATCAAGTGATGCATTGATTGTGCATGAGAGTTGGTTGACATTGAGATCATACTGGATCAGAAGTGAAAAATCATTAATGTTGATTATGAAAGGTATGGAACAAAGTTGACTATCGCCGATCATTATTAGTTTATTGTCACTGTTTGTCATAGATGATAGAAATTCAAATGATATATCAAGAAATGCTGGTTTTGAAACATCTGGATGTAGACTGAGAATACGTTGAAGTGGAAAATATGAATATTTCATACTATTAGTTGTTGTTTCTCGAACATTTTCAACCAATTGGCTCAAAGACCAAGCAGGATTTAGTTGACATCGTAATGGGATAATATTCTCGAACAGTCCAATTATAGATTTCAGTTCATCTCTATAACGATTGTCGATATTCATTGCAACACATAAATCTTTTTCACTATTCGATAATTTAAATAAGAAGATAAAGTAAATAGCAAGTGCGAGATGGTCATGTCTGATATTGTTTGATGATGCATAAGTAAGAAAATGATGAGACAGATCTTGACCAAAATCAAAGGAGATATATGTTGTTCGATTAGTTCGATGTTCACGCATAAGACGATGTCGATCGTATGGCAATGATAAAGATTGATCGAGTTTACAATCGTAAAGTGTATCAAGCCAAAACATAGTTGCACCAGTCATTGACATTTGTTGTTCAATAAAAGCATCTAGATAGGAAGAAAAAATCAGTTGAAATAGAACAAGGAATTGAATATACTTACAATCGATATAACGTAGAATAGTATTATTATCAGTTGTGAGTTGACCTGTTTTGTAAGCTTGATCAAGATCATGAAGGAATATATTCATTGATGGATAATCAAAGAGAGCGTGGTGAAAATTGAAGATAATCATATCTTTATCGGAAAGGATATTGTTTGAAGAGATTTGTTTGTAATAAATAATATGACATCGAAAGACAAGAACTTGAGCAAGATCGAAAAGTTGAGGATTGTATTTCTCATTTTCGATGATGCCATTGAGTTGTTCATCTGTTTCATAAGTGCTTTCAGTAATTGTAAACATTTCATTGTTGATATCTTGTTGGGTGAGAACTCTCTGCATGAGTTGATTGTTGTTAGAATCATAGATGAGTGATGTATGAAGTGATTCATGCTTGGTAACAATGAGTCCAAGAGCATGACGAAGTTGTTGTACAGATAAAATACCTCCTGCGTAGAGGTGATAGAAAAACGGCACATTATGGGTCATTAAAGATGATTGATCAGTATCGGCATCTCTTTGATTTTGTGACCATATTCGACATTGTGCAAAGGATGCTGGTGCTATAGAAATTAAAGTTTAGTTGGTTAGAGTGAGTAGTAATGATAGTTGATTTGCTCTCTCATACTATTATTGCCATCTTAGTTTATCTATTTTCTGACTGAATTGAATCAATATTGTTGTCATTTACACGAGTCAACAATGTCATATATAAAGATTTAATTCATCTGAATACACATCAGAATTTACAAAAAATCTATTAGCAATATTTATCATAAGCTGTTAGTAATAAAGTTTTTAAACAGTAAAAGAATATTTCCATAGTAAAATAAGCTTTTCATTTATATCGTATTATCTCATTTCGGTGTTCCCACTAGTATGTATCCGAGTGTGTGTGATGTATGTAATTTAAATCATGTTTTGGATTAGATTATTTTACTTTAGAAAGAAAAGTATTGGGAAGAAAACTCAAGAACGTAACACGAGGTTTGAGATTACGCTAGCCTTCCACGTGAGTTTGCCACTACGCATAAACTAAAGAGAGTTAGATTATACACATTATAACATAATAGTATCTATATGATGTCACCGCAGTATTAATCATAGAAAATTTTGTACATTTTCATTTCAACCAAAAAGAAAAAATCCTTCAGCAAGTATAATAATATATCAATACATAGTTTGCCTCAATCCGCTCTTAACGTTAGTCGTTCTAACTGGTATTAGTGGTGCATGCATAAAAATAATTAAAAATTAAGCATACCCTCATTACTAATATTTTTCAACCTATGAAACATTATTCCTTGTCTTTCTTTGACTTCTTCTGGTAGAATTAGATCAACTTTTGATATAGATGTGCAATATAAATCCATGCGATTTGTGCTTGATTTCGACAAAAAGACTTGCTCCAAAACATGTTGAAGTCTTCGACCTATTATGGTAACTGTTGTCTCATCAAATAAATCACGTGAACAAACAAAAGAGGAAGATAATTGATTGTCATCGGATGACGAATTGTATAAAAATGTCAATGAGAAGTCAAATTTAGCCATTTTATATGAGTCATTTAACGGCACTTGTTCTAGATTAACACCATTCAAAAATAAATCATTAACGTCTTTCGATACAGTGATAAAATCAAACATTGTCTCAAGAAATGATACATTCGATTGAGCTAGTTGATGATCGCCAAGAATATGTTGAAGTGGATAATGAGAATGTTCAAGAATTGATAAGCATTTTTCTCGTACATATTTGACTACTTCATCAAATGACCAATGGAGATCAAGTTCAACACGATACGGTAATGTTGAAACAAACATTCCAATCATATTCACTAATTCACTTCGGTATCGATTAGCATTAATAGAACCAATACATAAATCAGTCTCACCATGAGTTAATTTGAATAGGAAAACATAAAATATCGATAATCCAAGTTGAAAAAGTGTGAGATGATGTGATGATGCATAATTTAGAAATGATGTGCATACTTCATTATCGAAAATGATTTCAGCTATGGATGCTAGACCTGATCGTTGATTAGTTGATGAACGTTGTCGATCAACTGGTAATGATAATGAACATTCCATGTTGTATCTTTCAAGTTGAGAATGCCAGAATTCACGAGATAATGACATATCCATGATATGTTCATAAACAGAATAATCGATATAATTCAATGAGTTATCATCTACAGATAATGAATCATTAGATTGATAAGCAAGAGAAAGATCACGAATGAAGATTGATCTCGATGATCCATCAAAACAAGCATGGTGAATGGTAAATAATATCAGATCATCTTTAGTCAATAGATCATCATCATTGTGAATAAATGAATGATTTGACTGATCACCACGAAGAATATGACAGTTAATAACATGTGCTTTTGATATATCAAATAAATCAGATTGATTTAATAGTTTTTCAATAGCTTCATTCACATGATGACGATCATTATTATGAAGATTAACGATTGTCAATCCATGTGATTTCGTATCATTATTGAGAATGATATTTGGATCTAAATAATGTTGTGTGATATGACCATTTGTATCAACATAGAGTGCAGCTCGAAGAATATTATGTTTTGTGATAACAGTTTGAAATGCACGATGGAATCGAGTAATTGATACATGATCATTCATCGATGATATTCGATAAAGTAATGGAATAACATACATATTATTCATGGTTGTTTTGTTGGATGAAAATCGAATTTGTTCATCTAAATAGATTCGTTCTTGTGCAAATGATGCTCCAGCTAGAATGAGAAGAGAACACAAATATATACTTAATAATAATATCTAGTATAAGTTGTTTTGTTTACCTTGAATGAGATGTAATGAAGACCAAGGAATGTTATCCAGAGTGTGAATGATATTGATAAATTGCTGTATGAGTTGAGCATGATGAATAATTGTTGGATGTTGAAATAGAGTCGAAATAGAAAGAGAATTTGTTTCTAAATGAAATTCAATCTTGTATCGATGAAAAAGTTGCATTATGAGTAATGAATGACCACCAATAGTGAAGAGATTTGTATCAGTTGAAATACGATTTAGTTTGAATATCTCACACCAAATCTGATGAATGCTAACTTCAATATCATTTGTTGGTAGTAATAGTTCGACAGTGTTTGTAAAATGTATTGATAGGAAGTGAGGTGGCAGAAGAAGTTTTCTGTCTATTTTTCCATTTGGATTCAAAGGTAATTTATCAAGTATGATAAACAGTGATGGAATCATATGTGGTGGAAGATGAGATTGGCAATGTTGACGTAGTTCTCCTTCATTGTTATGAGAAGACTGAGCATATGCAACTAAGTAATCGTCATTCCATTTCATGACAACACAAGCAGAAATAGATGTAATGCTAAGTAAACATCGTTCGATTTCACCAAGTTCAATTCGTTGTCCATGTAATTTGATTTGATGATCTTTTCTTCCTTGATAATGAAGAAGTCCATTATTATTGAAGGTAACAAGATCACCTGTCCGATAGTATAGTTGACCATCTATTTCAACAAGAGCCTTTGATGTCAAATCATC